CATCAACAGATACTTGGACAACTACTGGTAGCATGACTAATGCACGAGAGTATCACAAAGCATCTGTATTATCAAATGGAAAAGTATTAGTTACTGGTGGTTGGAATGGTAGTGATGCTATAAATAATGCAGAATTATATTAATTATTTCAAACAAATTAACTATCAATTATTTTATTCTTTTTCTTGCAAGTAATGCGAATTCCAAACAATACTTTAGTTAGAAAAAATGTCAGCTTGTGTCGTTCACTAATTGTTTCCTTCCACATTTTTACTGAATTATCATTTACTTTAATATTCCATCCCAAACTAAAACAAATATCTTTGTTTTTCTACTCTTATCTATCAGTTTATTATGATCAACAAAACTTACAATTGATACGATAACTTTACTTAACCTTTCAAATGTTCTCTTCGTTTTGCAGTGTAGTTACTCATAATATTTAATTGTTTTGATAGTATTGATCGGATTTAGAATATATGATCAGTGAAACATTTTGGTTACCAAAAGACTTGGAAGTAAGTTCATGAATGACGGAGATAAACATATCTGTAAACAACAGATGATCTAAAGCAAAATTTATAGTCATATCAGATATACGAATTAATGAAGATGAAGACGAGGTAAACAAAATACTGACATCCGGCTTGCCTTATATTTATATGAATATGTTTATTAACGAAAAAGAATAAAAAATAAGATAATTCCTGTATAATTACATAGCGCCGGTTATCAGCAATTTCGAGTATTTTCTGCTGACATTCATTTCTGGGCTTATGATCCGTCTAAACGTAGTTGTGATGGATGTCGAATTAAATTCTATATCGAGTAGTGCAATTTTTGAGGGGATTCACTAACCGAGAAGGTGCACAAGGTTCAGTTTTTTATGGATATGAATGTGGCTGTAGACCTTCTTCAATATTCATATTCACACCATCAGTAAGGAAACACCAAATCTTTTGATAGGTTCACATAATTTGTCAGAATTGAATAATTTATATAATATTGTGATATAATCTTCTTCATTCAAGAACAAACTTTTTTAAATTTAGACTTTTGATAATTATTTGATTAAAAATAAAAAAAAGCATAAATCAAGTATCACACGAATAAGGCAAGAATACGAATGTTTTTCTCACAGATCAAGTTAATTACAATGATAAACAATTAAAAATAACATAAGCAATACATTAAAATAACATAAAAGATTTTTTTTCTTCTAATTAATTTTTCAGACATTATATAAAATGAAAAATAAAGATAAAGTTTTTGTCAAAAGAATTGAAAGATCTCTCGAAATATTAGTTTGTTTTTGAATTAAAATGAAGGATAAAATAATTAATATCATTTTCACTCGAAATTCTTCCGACATTGAACAATATATAACAAATGTTATAAATAATGAAAAAATTTATTAATACAAATTGCAACTAATAAAAAACCTTGAAGAAGTTTAACAAATAGTCTACATCACCTGGAGAACGATGTAAATTATAGAAGTTGTCTCTGGCCTATGTAACATGAATTTAGATCAACATCCAATTCATAAATAAATAGTGGAATAATTTGTTTCATTTTGTAGGATGATTTGCTAATAGATTAGTACCACTGATATTCCATTTGTGTTTAACTCGTCTATACACAATTGAAATAGATATTGTGTATTTATAGATTAATATTAAATCAATAAATATGACAACTAGTGATGAACTTTGTTGGAAAAAAAGAAAATTAGAGTACACAAAATGATTAGAAATCAAATTCACTGATATGTTTCTCGATTCCAATTCATCTTAGAATATTTTAAAAACAGACCTGTTTCACGTGTACCACAGATGAAAACTGCCAGTAATGTAACTTCGCTATTTCAAATGGAAGAAATTTTTTAGTTTTATTAATTTTTTATTGAAATATTCAAATAACAAAATATGATTATATGAAATGATAAATTCACTAGTTTTGACGTTGTTGAGCTTCTAACCATTCATTGAATTCGTTCTCTAATTGAGGATCAGTATTATTTTCTGGCGGACGACGAGGAATTGATAATGATGATTGCTGCTGTTGATAAGAAACTATTCTTCCAGGACTGTATGGTAAACTATTAGAAGCATAAGGTGTTAGTTGAAACGACGATTGACTGTCTGTAGGTCGTCGTTGATGCGGATGAACTTCTTCATCACAGTCATACCAATTGTAAGTCATACATATTGTTGTTGGAATCGGGATAATACAAAAACAAAGAAATATTTTGCAGTTAGAGCACGAAGACCGTGTCAGAGTATAAATAAGTGCTGTTGTAAAAAGTATAATGGCGTATATTATATGTATTAAGGTTCGAATAATGAGTTCGTTTCGTGTGAGTCTTCGAAGCGTAGTACTTATGTTGAATAAAAGAAGGGCGAGAGCAAGAACAAAGGCTGCAGTCAAAAAGAAGATTGATACTGATTCAACATCTGCATGACAAACGATTGAATAGTTTCCAGTAGAGTTTTGTTGATAAGAGCTATTAGCAAAGACTCTAGACCATGTTTGAGGTTGTTTTTGTGTTTGATTATTTTGTGAATCGAAATTTTCAGGAGGGAATGCTTCGTTGAAATGCATTCCAAATTGAACTAATAGATACAAAAATGGAATTAAATCGATCAAAGAAAGAATATTAGCTAAACAACAGCAGATATTTTCTTCCTCTTCGTCCGTTGGTCTTCTATAAACTCGTCCGTGCATATTTGTATTATACATTAGAATGTTTTTAGTTGAATATAATATGTTTCAATGATCAAAATGAAACAACATTGTTGCTAATACAATGATGTAAAAGAAAAGAAGAGGGCGCTTGATTTGATATATGCGTTCATAATGACCGTATTATTTGACCGGATGACCGATGTAGAATGCATTTTCTTCAATATTTTCCATTACTTCTATCGTCTATAGAGTCAATTAGTTTGATTTTTTTGGATTAACTTACTGTTTGATAAAATCACCACTTGGAAACACAAATCATGAAATAACACGATCCTTGATAAACAAAATCTTTTTTACCAGTGCATAATGCTCGAAAATTGGTTAAAATAGCATTATATATGAAATAAATGTCAATACCTTTATCAACAAAACTCGAATATTTTTCATAATTATATCAAATGACTAGTTTAATTAGAAATAATTTTCTTTTTTATAGTATTGCAAAATACCATCTTGAGAGTGTGAGTGTGAGTGTTGATATGATTTTCATGTATACTGTTAGACTGTAGCTAACTACTCCTGGTTCTACTTTATTATCACTAAGAGATAGGAAGAACACACTTGATCTGCATGACCAATGAAGAGTGACTAAGAGTGAGAGAAACACAAGAGAGGTAGTGGTGAAAGATGCCACTACCTAACACCTCCGCCCGTTACCAGTGAACAGGTATATCTGTTCACGAAAAGATAATAACAAATAAAGAGACAGATAGTGAAAAATGAGAAAAACAGAAAGCAGAACACTATCAGACAAAACAAACATAGAGAAACAAAAAAAATCAGTTGTCGATACTTCCATTTTCGAAAAGAAGAAAAAAATAAATGACGATATTTCCATTTACGAAAAGAAACTCGCACTTGAAATATTCCATTGTGACAAATATATCGAAATTCACGTCGAGATGAACAGTTCCATTCTAGATTACTAAGTTTAAGTGCAATATCTTCATACACAATAAGAGAACATGATTGTGGTCGAGTTTTATCAAGTAAATCAGGATAGAAAATATTGAATGTACTGCTTTGAATAACTTTCGATGTTGGTTCATCGAATTGATATGGATCAGGACATAAAGATTGAACATCTTGTGATGCAGCAGTATTAGTTAATGAATCATCAGTTATAGCGGTACAAATAGTTTCAGTAAAAACTTCAATAGTATCTCCAACACCATGTGTAATAGGATCATTTTCACTAACAGATTCATATTGTTGGTTTAATGTATCAAAATCAGTTAATACATCGTTACATTGCGATTGAATTTCTAAATCAATATCATTGATAGGAACTAATATAGGTGAAGTATATTTTTGTGAACATTCATTTAAATTTTCATCTGTAAAATCTTCGAATGATTCAATTTGATTATCATTAAGGGGAGCTAAAAGATCATGTTCAGTATGTTGTTTCTTTACGGGTATTGTTGAAGTTAAAGAGAAGTTTGATGAAGTTGAAACGTGAGAGAATTGTCGACATTGTTCCCCTTTCAATAATATTGGATTAAATAATGGTGGAAATGCTTTAACAATTTCGATTTTGAATGTAACCCAATCATGAATAGTTGACCTTTCAAGTCGAAACCATTTGTCAGCAGTAGCAGTTAAATAGCATTGTGCAACTATAAATTTATTAGATGGACGTAGTTGTGCTTGTTCAAATAGTTCTTCAGTTGCATGTAACCATTGACTAACATCTTCATAATGAGAACCACCAAATTTAGGAAGACGTCGAATGATTTCTTCAGCATATCGTTCTTGTAATTTGGCATCCATAACATAAACCGTAAGTGAATTAAGAAATAGAGAAGCGGAGGAATAAATCAATAAGTACGTATAATAAAGACCAAGTAAATCACCAAAAACTCACCAGGAAGAGAAGATAAGAACCAAATAAATCAATCAGGGAAAAAAACTTATTATATTCGACGAATTTGTCGAAACGGGTCACGGCACCAATTGTTAGACTGTAGCTAACTACTCCTGGTTCTACTTTATTATCACTAAGAGATAGGAAGAACACACTTGATCTGCATGACCAATGAAGAGTGACTAAGAGTGAGAGAAACACAAGAGAGGTAGTGGTGAAAGATGCCACTACCTAACATATACTATATATTCAAATCTACGCCTACACTCTCACTCTTGTCTGAAAATATTCAAATAAAATAAATTTGATCTTTTTTTTATTTTTATTTTAATGAATTATTTATTTTTATTTTTAATATTTAAATTTAAAAATGATTTTTAGATAATAATGATAATATTGTAACAGATCTTGATAAATGAATAGAAAATTGATATTTTGAATAGTTTTATTAATAGTTATTATAAAATTAACTAAAGCTTTCAGCACTTCAAGTACCATCGTCAGTAGAATGTTAGAATGCAGTAAAGTAACATTATAATTACAATTGTGGATCACTGAATTTAATCAAGGGTGGGTGTGGGTGGGTGTAGACAGTGTATTCGTGCCACATGTACGCCTATACCCACACCCTCAACTTGTGATGAATTTTCTTATCGAAAAAAACATAAAAAATATATTAATAAATATGAATCCTTCCTTACTCGATATTTAGATACTCTATACAAACAACAGACTTATCTATGTTAGGATAATACAGCAATTTTGTTATGCAAATTGCTCAGTTATTTCATGTTTAGTATCCATTTCGTGCAAATCTTTCCTAAGAGAAGAAATAACATCATATATTCGTTCCGGTCAATAGATATGATTAATGTTTCCGTTTATTAAAGCATAATTTGCAAAACGAAAAAGAAATGACTTCGTATTTATCCAGAAGTGTCTGTTTTGATGATTACTTCAGCCAAGACTGGAATATGATCGGATGGATAAAAACCATCATTTGAATCGGTTAAAGCACCATGTTGTAGAACTTTAAAATGTGATGTTGAAAAAATATAATCAATACGATCACCCATCTTATTCGAAACATCAAATGTTGAAAAAGTACCATTGGGACCACAATGAGGAATTTCTGATATAGAATAAGAATCTTTAAAAGCTGTATTTGTAATTATAGTACGATAAGGATCTGAATTTGGCGTTGCATTTAAATCACCAGTGAATATGACAGGTGTTGTAGTTCCAGCAATAGTTTTTATTTGATTTAGAATTAAATGAGAACTTTGAAGACGAGCATTTTCACCTTTATGATCATAATGTGTATTGAAATGATATAAAACTTGTTGAGTTCGTTTATCACGAATTTGTATCCAACTACATATACGTGTTATAGCTGCATCCCAACCTTTACTTCCAACTATAGTCGGTGTCGGTGAAAGCCAAAATGTACCACTTTTAAGTAAATCAAAACGATCTGCTCGATAGAATATTGCTGAATATTCACCTCTCGTGTTACCATCATCACGACCTACCCCATAATGACGATAGTTAGGTAACGCTGTCTGTAAATCAGTCATTTGTCTTGCCAATGCTTCTTGAATACCCAATAGATCAGGTGTTCGATCTTTTATTAATTGAAACACATTAGCTTTACGATTGGACCATTGATTTTGTCCATCAGCAGTAGTATCATATCGAATATTGTACGTCATAACACGCAATGCAGTAGCACCACCTTTGGATATCATTGCTGAATGAAGAAAATCCTCTCAGAAAAATGCACTTAAATTTTTGACAAATATTATTCTTACCACATTGTTGCTGTGAATGAACTATGGAAGTAAAACAAAGAGCAATGATTAGAAGAAACGACATTATTGTATGAAAGAAATATGACTGGTGTATCGTTGAAAAACTTATCAATTGCAATTTAATCGAATTTTGTTTTTTTGTTTTTTCAAATGAAGATTAAATATGCTTTTCGAGTGGGATCAGATTTCCAAAAATTTGATATTAATATTGGCACATTTTCACTCGTAAGCTTTTAATTTTATATCAATACCTTTCGATTTCTTATTTATTAATCAGACCTCGCAGCCGATATACTTTCCTGATTTTTTAAAAACGTCCTGTTTTTCCTGCTTCTGGCCAAAAATCCTGAATTTCTCCTGATTTTTTATAATTCATTCGTATAGTCATTATATTTCCCTTATCATGACATATTGTAATATTCTTAACTTAATTTATTTTCAAAATGCATATTAAAATATTGTATATCATACAACATTTTTAACAAAAACAATACAATTTCTAAAAATAATATTTACTAGGGTGAGGGTGTGGGTGTGGGTGTGGGTGTGGGTGTGGGTGTGGGTGTGGGTGTGGGTGTGGGTGTGGGTGTGTCCGTGGAATGAATATAAGACAAACACCCGCTCCCATCCTAAAGAATAGAATGCCTGAACTTTACAGAGTAAATTTTTATTCTCTAACACGCTGTAAAATTAAACTCTCCATTTACTTCGTTACATACCTTTTTCCATCTGAAGCGTATTAATGACTTCTCTGTATGAAAAACGGTCACATTGTAGCATTGCTATTTCGTTTTGAATCGTTTGATTTTCTGCGGTGGTCAGTTCTGGACGAGTCAAACTAGCCTCCTTAATCTCAATTTCACGATCATCCGTTTTAACCATTCCGGCTGTCAGGAACGACGACGTTTTAAAATCGTTTTTCGCCGTATTCCATCGGTTTTCTACCGTTTAAGGCCGTTGTATTTGCCCTGAGTAATTGTCGCGAGCCTTGCCTTGTTTAGATTAATCTAAATATAGACCAGTTATATTCATTAACTTAAATTTTTGTTCTATTACCGAGATTCGAATGTAGTCAATTCCACTCATTTTTTTTGTAGCAAGAATCAAGACATCTAGAAATGACATAAATTTAAATTCAAAGGTAATACACTCAAATGAACGGTAGTACACTTTTCTAAAATAAATTGTAGTTTCTAGAAAAAGTGTTTTGTTTTTAACATGAAAGTAAAATGATAACATATGCAAAAAAAAGAAGGATATATACTATTTCGAAAATACAGATTACATTCTTCGCACCACTCTCTTCTCTCTTTCTGTAATGATGCGTATCATTCTTACTTTTGTTCTACTCATTTTTCCTGTGGTGACGAGCGATCATACTGATAAATTTTTTACATAAAATTTTCAGTGGCGGAAGTCTAAGAGAAATATGTTTAATTTATTCTGAAAAACTCTTGGTTGTCAAAAACTTTTTTGTTTCAAATATTTTATCTTATAAAAATACTTTAATTATCAGTTTGAGTGTTATACATTTAATATTCTTTATTACTTATTCTAAATATATAAAAAACGTTCGCTTTCTAATTTAAACTCGTTATTGCATGTTTCTATTTCATTCTGCTTTGATATATTAATACCTATTCTCATGACCGTCACCAATAATAATACATAGCTAGTTCTTCCTCTCACATTTCTCTCTCCCTTTTGTATAATCACATTCTATGTAGGAGAGATGTAAAACGAAATGTATACAAGAAGAGTGTACGTGCTTGTTGCTTTTTTTCTTATTGATTCTGTACAATTCGTCATACTTTGTTTATTCTTTTCTTTGAAGTGAATCATCATGTCTGCACGTTTAGTTGTCAGTTTAGTAACAGATATTAATTATTTTAAACAATTCTAGAGGATGTGAGTATGAGTGTAGAAAGAATAGAATACCCACACCCAAAATTCCAAACTTAAGTGTCCATAAATTCACGTAAATTAATAAAGCCTCTGAAAAGAATAAGAATTGACAAAATGAAGAAAATTTTTAGTCATACTGGTTGGTATTAAAGTCACTTGTCGGCTTGTAATTAAATAAAGCCATGATCAAATAACTAAATATTAAAATAAAAAAATATTTGTGTTATTTTGTATTACTGGATGATCAATAAAGAAATATCCATTTTTTTCATGATAAGTTAAAGGACAAAGTCAATCTTGTAATACATAATTAATTTTTACACTACCATCATTTCCTTTTATGTATTCAATGAGTTGTCATTTCTTTAAAAAACGGATGATGTTGGTTTTTTTATTGAATATACTTTCTCTTGGTTTGTACTTTAATGAATATCGTAAATGTAAAATTGGTAGGTAGGCAAAATCGTCCATCTAAAAAATAAAAGAATCTGCTAATTAAAGAGATAAAATTTGATATCCGACAAAATCAAAACTTATTGCCCATCTTGAGGGTGATGATGGGTATGCGCTAATTTTTGTTTTACCCACACCCACACCCACACCCTCAAGGTGTTTTCTATAGAATGTGAGTGCGATCCTCACTCACTCTGTCTTTACCTGTCGCAATTATTTCCTTTGCCCTGAGAGAATTCGATTCGTTATGATATCAACATCACCATTATGAACAATGCAAAAAAGAATCAAACAAAAATTCGTCTAAATATAATGGCTGGGAGATGATTTTAATCATTCGAGCCTGTTTCACTTCAATAGAGAACTAGTCGGCTAGATTTATGGAGATGAATGTAGGTATGGAACTAGCTTCATATCCTTGACCCACATCCTCTTTATTGCCAAAAATATTTTAAAAGACTAGCGACAGATTCGAATTTCTCGCCTACAAAAACATTGGATAGAGTTTTAATTCAAGTAAAATAAAATATATCTTGCCTGATAAAACTTTCCTGATGTCTAACTGGCTTGAATAAAAAGACACACTTAACATTTAATCCTTTCTATCAGAACAGCGAATTATCTTGAGGGTGGGTGTGAACGTTATATTCATCTCGCACCCACACCCACACTCTCAAGATAATACATTTTTACATGAGTTGTGTCCTGTCTAATTAATATATGACAAATATTGAATTAATCTATTTTTATAAACAAGGAAAATAATCATAAAAATCTTTTGGTAAGACAAGCAATTGACCAAATACGATTCATTTGATTTGATTACAATTAATTTGTTTTACATCATTTGTAAAATTATTCGAGATAGTAACTAATTTATCATATTGTATTGCAAGTGTGTGAAGAGTAGGTAAATATGTATTTGTATAACATAAAAATTGTTCAACATAATCAATATGTGCCTCAGCAAGATTAAGTTTAAATAAATGTAAATATGAAATTTTTGAGAAGATTTGTTTATCATCAATTATTGTAACTTGACGTTTATTTGCCTGTGGTGTTAAATTGTCAATGAGTAAATGTTTGAGTGATGGACATGCTTGAGATAGCCATTCGAAAAAATCATGTTCAAATGGCCGTCCATCAAATAACCATAAATTAGTAACATATAAGAAGTCTTGACCATGAAAACTGTTTGAAAGACACGTAAAATGAGTCATCTGAAATGGTGTTGAATAAATATGATAATAACTATATCCGTCCGAAAAATGGTCGATACAACAATTAACTGAAGAATATTTCCAATTAAGAAATGTATTTTTAATATCATTCGCTGTTAAGAAATTATTCGTTTGATAAGTTCTTAAAACAGTACAAATATGGAATATAAACTTGTTTAAATATTTCATATGAATAAAAAGTTCTTCATTAAGATGTAAACCGTCAATAACAGATGATCTTACTATATCGAGACCGAAAGTAAGAGTTTCTAAATTTGGCATTCGACGAAGAAGTGATAATATTCGACAATCATAAGCGTATGTGAGTAAATAGCTAGTTAATGAGAATTCTTTGAGATTAAATAAAATTTTCTATTAAACAAAAAAGAAATAGATTAATTATTCGAATAAAATAATTTCCACTTTTCATTAATTCTCTTACTTGATTATTATTGTCCACTACTGATCTTGTAATGAGAAGAATATGCACTGTGAAAGAACATAATTGTTCTAGACGACCATCAAGTAGACAAAGACAATCATCAAAGCCAACCACATTAATCAATAAAGTGTGTAAATTTGAAGAAAAACAAACATTTGGAGGTAGATACTCGATTGAAAGGTATGCATGGTTGATTATTAACCATTGATTCATATTTAAATATAACAAATTTCTGCAAATAGCAAGTATACGCATACATACATTTGTAAATGATCGATTAGTAAATATTTCGTTTTCGCTCTTGACAGTTAAATGTCTTATCTGTTGTTGAAACAAACGAGAAATAGGCGACTCATCTAATCATATGATTAAATATGATATTCATAATTATGAAAAAAAAAGAAGTTTTATCTACCTGTTAAATATTGTAAAAGAATACCTGGCAAAAAATTAGTTAAAACAATAACAGTAAGATTAGGATATTCACAAGCAAGAAGAATACGTTCCATAGAAAATATTTCAAGAGTAAGTTCCACAATGTTATGATGTATTTGAGGTAATATTTCACAACAAAATCGATTAAGTTGAACATTATTCATTGAAAAGTTTAAGAATTTAGTATTGTTAATACTTCTTGCCATTTGATCGAGTCGATTATTAACATTGAATAATGAATAAAGAACATCAACGGAATCAAGTTTTTTTAAAATAATAAGTAATATTTCGTCAGATAAATCAAGTAAGTGAGCTGTTCTACAATTCATAGCTGAGAAATATTGTTTGACTTTTCTTCTTTTACTGTGCAGTTATATGCCGTATATGTCGGACTGAATTACGGACGAATATATCAATATTTTTATAGTCTGCCGATACAAAGCTAAAGATTACATTTTTGACAATATACTTGTTTGAACTTT